ACACACACACACACACACATGCGTGCTCAGACGCACATGTGCACCGCTCCGGCCTGGCCACTGCAGCTCTGAGGTCCCACCTGAGTGGTACGTGCCCCCACCTTCCTGCTGCTGGCCCGGGTGTGGCACCAGGAGGCCGGAAGGGGTGCACACCTGCACGTGGTCTCAGCCAAGGCTGCCCGGTGCCCACGGAGCGGCCTCACATTGGACCACTCAGCGCCACTCCACTGGTCCAGCTACCTGACCAGGCCGCTGTCCTCCCTCTCACAATCTGGAGCCCATGTCATCAACCACGCCTTCTCTGTGGACAGGGGCCTCGGGCCAGGGAGGTCAACAGTTGGTCTCAGTGAGCCTAGACGTGGGTTGCATCCAGCCCCCCCCCTCACCAGCTTGGACTCTGGGCTCCAAATCCTAAATAAGGAGCGTGCCAGCAGCCCCGCCCACAGGGCCCCAAGCCCCAGGGCAGTCACCAGCTCTGAACCCAGCTCATTTTACTCTTTAGCTTAGAGACTGGCTCTCACGCCGGCCTGGAAGTTGTGGTCCTCCTGCCTCAGCCTCCTGAGTTGTGGGGCTCCCAGACACACACAGATGTGTGGGGTGACAGTCGCCCCTTGGGGCAGGTGGCCTGGAAGGTCTGGATTCTGCCAGCTTAGCGCAGAGCCCACAGAAGCCAGCACCTCGCAGCTGTCCACCCCGGGGCCAGTGAGACGAGAGTGGGGAGCAGGTGGACCAGCCCCCCGCACTGCCCCACAGCTGCTCTGCAGCTAGAGGCGGCCGGCTGCCTCTGTGGGCCGGAACGGGGCCAGAACCAGGACTGGGACTGGGTCCAGGACCTCCACAGGGGCCGGCCACTCCCCTCCGGCCCCTCCTCACACAGCCAGCTCCCGTCAGCCCAGCAGAGGGGTTCTGGTCGATAAATGGGTCCTGACGGGCACATTTTTTTCTTCTGCTAAGCCGTTTAATGGCAATTAATTTTTTTATGAGAGGATTTTTAATCTGTGGAAATGGATGAAGTCCCCAGGTGCCCTGTCACTACTCCGGGCCAACCTAATCTATGATAAAAAATGCAAAGCGAGGTGATATAATCGGAAATTAAAGACCACCCTTCATTTTCCTTTGGCCCGGATGGATGAATATTTTATAACTATTGTGATTTAATTTTTTGTTAACTACAGCAAATTTCTAATTCATCCAATTCCCAAGTCCGGCAGCTCTGACCCCTGAACCCAGACTCATCTCTCCTTAGCCCAGCTGTGACTTCGTCACTGACAGAAACTAATGGTGACCACCATCAGGGTGACACGGAGCTAGCGATGATGGATGTGGCCGGGGGCACGCCCTGCCAACCCCATGTCAGGCAGCAGGCAGGTCATTTTTCAAGTAAGCCATTAAAACCCAACAAGCCAGAAAGTTCGGGGGAGGCGACGTGGATGGGGCGCTTCTTGTGTGTTGCCGAGGGTCTTACAGTGTCCCCAAATCTTTTTTCCAGTGGAGTATTTCCTTCCTGTCCGGCGACACCACTTCCAGCCGGAAGGACACGTGTCACGCAGTCCTGCTAGGCTTCCTGCTTCCCCCAGGCCTGTCACCAAGCAGTGCCCATGGGGAAAGCAACACCGGGGCCAGGACAGAGGAGACTGACCACGCCAGGCAGGACCAGTGCTGCCCGGGGGACAGCACAGCCACCCACCAGGCCAGGGTGTCGGGGGAGCCTGAGGTGGGCTCACTGGGCAGCTCAGGAGCCCCACCTGGCCCTGCAGTCACGGTGTGCTTAGCGTGAGGGTCTCCCAAAGCCTCCACAACCCTGAGAGCCTGCACTCCCTCCACCAAGGTTTCTGTGCTGTCCCCAGAGACCAGAGGCATGCAGCTGCCCTCCGGCTCGGAGCACGGGCAGCGGCCTGGGTGGGTCAGACCAGCCCTGGCTCTGTCTACCTCAGCGGCCCTGGGCAGGCTGCAGAACCTCCCAAGACTCGGTTTTCCCACCTATAAGATGCAGCACACCTGCCTCTAGGGACCCAGCTGGGGGCTCACCCCACAAACTGAAAACCACACCCAAGCCCTGGCACCAGGAGCTTTGTGGGGCCTCAACCTCAGGGAGGTGTACCCCAAGTTACAAATTCCTCTGCCCCACTACCCATGGTCACAGGGTGGCCTTCAGGACGTGTCATGAAATTTCATGCTGGCTCGTACCCCAGAGACCTGCTGACCTCGTGGTGTCCCTGCAGGCTGCACACTAAAGATGACTGGTGATCTTGGGGCAGCACAAGGGATGCTGCCCTGCACCGTGTGAACCAGGGCCACCAGGTCGCCAAGCCCAGCGCTGGCGTGGCAGCCAGGCCCCTGGACCGTGAGGACCCCTGTCATGGGCAGCTGGGGCCAAGGCGTGAACCTCACCTTTGCCTTTGGCGGCTCTGCTGGGTGAGGGCAACCTGGGGGCCCCCCTGTCCCTTCTGCAGGAGCGGCTCCGTGTCCTCCTGGTTTTGTCTTGGGGACCTTGAGTAGGAGAAGAGAGAAAACACCAGGCCAGGAGGTGAGCGGACTCCTCACTGTTTGCTAAGCAAATAAAGAACGGAGCAAATAAGCTCCCCACTCCCCACCCCAGTGTGATAGTTAGCTGGCCAGGGAGAGGACCAAGGCCCAGAGCAGGCAAGGCAACCGGGCTCAGGGCAGAGATCTCCCAGAATTCTCAGCATGTGTGGCCCTGGTTATCCCGTTTCTGGCCTTTGGTTGAGCTCTCTGGTGTCAGCACAGGGGCCTGGCAGGGAGCTGAGAGGCTGCACCTGCACTGCAGGAACACGGACAGTGGGGGCCCTGGCTGGGGGGACCCAAGGTCTCAGAGCCCCTCAAAGGGATAGGTGACGAGAGGTGACTCTGTACTTGGCCACGGCCCCTGGCTGCCTGACGCCTCTGGTCCCTGGAAGGAGCAGTGCAGGGCTGCACTGGGTTGATGCCCCACATGCCTGGCACCACACACCTCATGTGTGCTGTGGCTGCTGTCCAGGGCATCCCACCGGCCACCATCCTCCTACAGCCCAGGAAAATCCTCACTGCAGATCCCTGGGCCACCCGAGCTCTTGTCCCCTCAGAGCACATGGGTCCCCCTCTCCCTGGCTTGGGATATGGACTACACCCTGAGCCCCTCAGCTGCAACCCCACTCGGGACCCTCCAGGGGCTCTGCTGCCCGGAATGAAGCCTAGGTCCCAGGGCCACTCAGAACCAAGGCAGGAGCAGGGCAGCTGTGCCCTGGGCCCATCCTGGACCCGCCTGGGTGTTGCCTTTGCTTTCACCTCTGGGACCAGGCATGCCAGGCCAGGTAGTGCCCTGGCTGAGAAGTGGACCAGCGAGCCCAGGGTGGCAGGGTCACTGGGGACGTGGGGATGACCTGGCCTCTTGGGGACGCCTGTCCGACCCTCTGCCCTACCTGCTGCCTGGATCCCTTGCTCCAGAGGCACAGGGTTAGAACACACGCTCACATACACACACACATACACCCACCCTTTCCCAGCAGGGTCCCTGGGAGCCTCCATTCCTCTCCATGAGGGGCCCAACCTGGACCCCTCACCAGGAGCCTGGAGCTGGGTGACCTGGGAGAGCTCACGCCCCACTCCTAGAGGCGTCTGGTCTTTCCCTTGGGGCTCTGCCTCACGGATGCCGCTGAATCCTGGGCCAGGGCGAAGCGTGAGTGGGAGAGGGGTTCTGGGCAGCTTGGCTTAGCTTGGTGGCACTCCACCCCAAGGCCCAGGCCCAGGCCCAGAAATGCAACCTGCAGGCCCACTGACACACGCGGGCCTGGGAGGCACATAAGCCACTCTGCAAGGCGACTCTGGCACCCAGCAGAGAGCTCCAGGGACCTTCTGCTCAGTGCCCAGCACAGGCTGGCCCACACTCGAGCAAGGGGGCCACAGCCCGAGGTGGAGTCCTGCCTGCACAGCATGCATGGCAGTACGTGCCTATGATCCCAGCACTCAGGAGGCTGAGGCAGGAGGACTGTCATAAGCTCAAAGCCATCCTGGGCTTCAAAGTGAGTGCAAGGCCAGCCTGACCTGCATAGCAAGACCCTGCCCCAAAGATAAAAGACCAAAACATTTTTTAAAAATCCATTTGTGCAAAAAGACATGGTGATGCAAATATTTATTTATTTACTTATTTACTTACTTTTGTGCCCAGCACTGGGGGTGGAACCAGGGCCCCACACACCCTAGGCAAATGCTCTACCACTGAGCTACACTTGAGGCTTTTGTTTGCTTGTTTTTAATCTGAGATGAGGTCTTGACAAATTCCCCAGGCTGGCTTCGGCTTTGAACTCCTCCTGCCTTAGCCAGTGTATTTTCTGGGATTACAGTCACATGCCACTGTATCCAGCTGACAAATTTTATATGTATCACACATGATATTTTTTTAAAAAATAAGCTATTATCTTAAAAACGGCAAGCATCTCCCCATACGCAGCTAGAGCAGGTCCCTAGCTCTCTGCAGGTAAGGGCTTTATTATTTATTTATTTAAATGTATTTGGTTGTCGCAGGATCTCACTGTGCAGGCAGCTCGGACTCGTGGTGATGCTCCTGCTTTCAGCCTCCCCAGCGCTGGGGTTGCAGGCATGTGCCTCTATGCCCAGACTATGGACAGCTCAGCCCTCCCTGGGAGCAGGGCTGGCGCTGCACGTGGTGCAGGGGACAGAACTGTGGTCCCCGCACACAGGAGGAGAGAGAAAGCACCAGGCCAGGAGGTGAGCGGACTCCTCACTGTTTGCTAAGCAAATAAAGAACGGAGCAAATAAGCTCCCCACTCCCCACCCCAGTGTGATAGTTAGCTGGCCAGGGAGAGGACCAAGGCCCAGAGCAGGCAAGGTAACCGGGCTCAGGGCAGAGATCTCCCAGAATTCTCAGCATGTGTGGCCCTGGTTATCCCGTTTCTGGCCTTCGGTTGAGCTCTCTGGTGTCAGCACAGGGGCCTGGCAGGGAGCTGAGAGGCTGCACCTGCACTGCAGGAACACGGACAGTGGGGGCCCTGGCTGGGGGGACCCAAGGTCTCAGAGCCCCTCAAAGGGATAGGTGACGAGAGGTGACTCTGTACTTGGCCACGGCCCCTGGCTGCCTGGCGCCTCTGGTCCCTGGAAGGAGCAGTGCAGGGCTGCACTGGGTTGATGCCCCACATGCCTGGCACCACACACCTCATGTGTGCTGTGGCTGCTGTCCAGGGCATCCCACCGGCCACCATCCTCCTACAGCCCAGGAAAATCCTCACTGCAGATCCCTGGGCCACCCGAGCTCTTGTCCCCTCAGAGCACATGGGTCCCCCTCTCCCTGGCTTGGGATATGGACTACACCCTGAGCCCCTCAGCTGCAACCCCACTCGGGACCCTCCAGGGGCTCTGCTGCCCGGAATGAAGCCTAGGTCCCAGGGCCACTCAGAACCAAGGCAGGAGCAGGGCAGCTGTGCCCTGGGCCCATCCTGGACCCGCCTGGGTGTTGCCTTTGCTTTCACCTCTGGGACCAGGCATGCCAGGCCAGGTAGTGCCCTGGCTGAGAAGTGGACCAGCGAGCCCAGGGTGGCAGGGTCACTGGGGACGTGGGGATGACCTGGCCTCTTGGGGACGCCTGTCCGACCCTCTGCCCTACCTGCTGCCTGGATCCCTTGCTCCAGAGGCACAGGGTTAGAACACACGCTCACATACACACACACATACACCCACCCTTTCCCAGCAGGGTCCCTGGGAGCCTCCATTCCTCTCCATGAGGGGCCCAACCTGGACCCCTCACCAGGAGCCTGGAGCTGGGTGACCTGGGAGAGCTCACGCCCCACTCCTAGAGGCGTCTGGTCTTTCCCTTGGGGCTCTGCCTCACGGATGCCGCTGAATCCTGGGCCAGGGCGAAGCGTGAGTGGGAGAGGGGTTCTGGGCAGCTTGGCTTAGCTTGGTGGCACTCCACCCCAAGGCCCAGGCCCAGGCCCAGAAATGCAACCTGCAGGCCCACTGACACACGCGGGCCTGGGAGGCACATAAGCCACTCTGCAAGGCGACTCTGGCACCCAGCAGAGAGCTCCAGGGACCTTCTGCTCAGTGCCCAGCACAGGCTGGCCCACACTCGAGCAAGGGGGCCACAGCCCGAGGTGGAGTCCTGCCTGCACAGCATGCATGGCAGTACGTGCCTATGATCCCAGCACTCAGGAGGCTGAGGCAGGAGGACTGTCATAAGCTCAAAGCCATCCTGGGCTTCAAAGTGAGTGCAAGGCCAGCCTGACCTGCATAGCAAGACCCTGCCCCAAAGATAAAAGACCAAAACATTTTTTAAAAATCCATTTGTGCAAAAAGACATGGTGATGCAAATATTTATTTATTTACTTATTTACTTACTTTTGTGCCCAGCACTGGGGGTGGAACCAGGGCCCCACACACCCTAGGCAAATGCTCTACCACTGAGCTACACTTGAGGCTTTTGTTTGCTTGTTTTTAATCTGAGATGAGGTCTTGACAAATTCCCCGGGCTGGCTTCGGCTTTGAACTCCTCCTGCCTTAGCCAGTGTATTTTCTGGGATTACAGTCACATGCCACTGTATCCAGCTGACAAATTTTATATGTATCACACATGATATTTTTTTAAAAAATAAGCTATTATCTTAAAAACGGCAAGCATCTCCCCATACGCAGCTAGAGCAGGTCCCTAGCTCTCTGCAGGTAAGGGCTTTATTATTTATTTATTTAAATGTATTTGGTTGTCGCAGGATCTCACTGTGCAGGCAGCTCGGACTCGTGGTGATGCTCCTGCTTTCAGCCTCCCCAGCGCTGGGGTTGCAGGCATGTGCCTCTATGCCCAGACTATGGACAGCTCAGCCCTCCCTGGGAGCAGGGCTGGCGCTGCACGTGGTGCAGGGGACAGAACTGTGGTCCCCGGCTACGCAGACAGCTTTAGCCCACGGAGCTCTCACCGGCCTGGGAAGCTCTTTAGATACCGTCTTAGTTGCCAGCCTGGCCCTGTCTCTGCTAGGAGGGCACCAGGTGGCCCTCGAGTCCTGTGCTGGCCTCTAGAGTACCTTTGGATATTACTGTCCGTTTAAATTCCAGGGCAGCAGGGACAGAGGCCAGGCCCGGGTTCAGGCACCAGCGCCCTCCTACCAGCCCTCCGCATCCCGGCTTCCGTCTTCCTCAGTGAGAGCCTTATCCCTGGCTCGGCTTGGAAGCCCTGTACTACAGTACACATCTCCACGCCTCCCAAGAGCCTCAACGGTCCTGGGCAGGGCCTGGGGCAGGTGAGGACCACGGGGCGGGCGCCATAGCTGCTTAGCTCCAAGCAGGTGGCCTGGTGGGCGGAGGCTGGGCCTGGGGAGGCCTGGAAGAGCCCGGAAAGGTGGTCTCTAGCTCCTCCCCTCTGCTTCCTGCCCTCCGCTGGGCTGCGGGCATGCACGTCCGCCCTGCCCGCCCACACACCATGCTGGCTCAGAGCCAGCCCAGCCCGGGCTGTAAGGTCCACAAACTTCAAGCCAAGACAGAGCTCTCCTGCAGGCGTCGCGTCCCAGCAACCGGAAAGTGCCTGAGACGCCCGCACCAATCTCTAGCGACTCTCTAGGTTCCTCTGGAACCTGCAGCACCTTGCACACGTCCCCACCTGGCCACATCACCCAGCCCTCCCCCCACCCCGCCATCCCTCCCCGCGCTGCCTCGGACCTGAGTGCGCCAGGGCTGTCACCTTGCAGGTCCTCCTCTGGGGCGTGGGCGCAGGAGCGGAGCAGAGGCATGAGGCGCTGGAGGGGGCTGAGGTGCCCAGGGAGGCACAGCTCGCCTGTCCCCGGGCCTGCTGGCGGATCCGGTCCCGCAGCCGCTCCAGCCTTGGGTCACTCTTTCTGGGTGGCCGCTGTGACCCCAGCCCCCGTGGCGGCTGCTCCTTCCAGGGCCCATGGGGAGGGGCATGAGACACATGGCCCCCTGAGGAGCCAGACAGGCGGCCAGAGGACACCGAGCTGCCCCCATCCCTGGTCTCCTGGTCAGTGGACCACACGGGCAGGCTGCAAGCCACGCCCCGCCGTGCCGGCTCTATAGGATCCCTGCTGCCTGGCCAGGCCAGGAGGGGAGGTGGCCCCGGGGCCCCCGGCTGCTGGGCCATAGCCACGACGGTCCTCAGCCACAAGCGGATAGGGCCGGTCTTCCCTTGGAGAGAGGGACAGGCATGCCGTCAGGCTGGAGCCCTCCGTGCTGGGCACCTCTGCCAGGAGACCCCTGCCTCCCTCTCCCACCTCAGGGGCAGGACAGTTAGTGAAGCACTGCCGTGTGGCTCGTGCTGTCTCAGGTCCTGTCCACAACCCGTGAGGGCTGGCTTGCATCCCAGGTGGGGCCCCAAGGCTGGGAGAGCCAGGCCTGGCCCCACTGACCCGCACTGGCAACATAGACCCCCATCCATGCTGTGCCTACCTGCGCTCTGTGTCGGCCCTCCTGAGGCCCCCTCTCCCCAGGACTCTGGGGGAGGATGGGCCTGGCTTTGGGGCCCCCCTGGTGCAGGGCAGCAGTGCGCCCCCTAGGCAGGTGGGCAGCCCACCCGGGAGTGGGGTAGGCATGGGGCCATCACGTGGCAGCCTGGATGCCTACCGCCGGGCACCCGTGGCTGCTCGGGACAGCTGACGCTGCCTACCCTGAGTGCCCGCCCGTGCTGGTCCCCTGGTCCAAGGGCAAGCCTTAAGGACGGTCATGAAATAGGGGGATGGTGGGAGCAGGCCTGCGGGTAGCAGGTGGGGCTTCCCAAGGGGCTGCCTCCCCAGGGTGGGGAGGATTCCAAGTGACCCAGTGACAGCATAATAACCCCGTGTCACTCATGACAGGGCCTGGGGCTGCCACTTGCACCCCAGATGCTGTCCAGGACCAGGAGCTCCCGCACCTCTTCAGGGCTGCCAAGAGGGCTTTTGGTCACCCTGGCTGGACAGGCTGCGTGCTCAGAGCCCTGGGGCTTACCCTAGCTACAGGCTGACCTTGGGCATAGGAGGTGGGGGCAGAGGGATCCCTGAAGTGCTCCTTCCCTCCCGAGTGTCCCCTGAGAAAGGCGGGGGACCCCTTGGCTCTAGGTGATGTAGGGAACCTGGAGAATGTCTGTTCTGTGCTGCAGTTCTGGGGGTGCCCGTCGTGCTAGGCCAAGGCGCACCACTGAGCTGTACCTGCCCACCCTGAGGCTGCTCCCAAAGGCCTCAGAGCAAAGGGACAGTGCCGGGAATAGAAGGCACCACCACCGCGTGCATCCCCTGCCACCTCCCCAGCCTCAGAGCATGAGATCCTCGAGCAGCCCCAGGGCTCCCACCCAGTCCCAGGCCAGGCACCCACAGGGCTGAGCGCGGCAGTACCTCTATGGCCAGGTCCCTGTGGCAGCACCGTCTGACTCTGCCTTTTCTAACCAGCCTGGTGTCGGGGGCTGGCCCGGAGGCCCGACACTCCTGGGGACATCACTCCTTGAGGCTGAAACCGAGCAAACCCCACATGTGTGTCCCTTCATGACACTGGCAAGAGGTGGGCCCTGCATGCCTTGATGTCCCCATCACAGCACAACAGGGCGGTCACGTTCGGCACGTCGTTAGCACAGGGCAGTCAGGAAAACATACCTGTGGGTAGGAAGATACCCGGTAAATGCAGAGCCACAGAGTGAGCCAGGCAGAGCCCTGGCCTGTACGTGGGGTGACTCCGGCCACCCTCCCCAGCAGTGTGTGGACAGGGACACGGCGGGCTCCGCAGGGTGAGGCTCCCTCTGCTGGTGTCCGGGCCCTGCCAGCCTGTGGGGTCCCAGGACGGCCACAATGGCTGGGTCTGCCACGGGCAGCCAGGAGCAGAAGGTTCCCCAGAGAGCTAACAGGACCACAGTGGGGTCCTGCAGGGAAGCCCTACTGCATCCCTACTTTATGGGGAGCTGGAGCTCAGCCTGCTGCAGGTCCTGGCAGCGTCAGAGGCTAGGAGCCCAAGCCGCCCCCAG